GCTGGAACTACAGGCATGTGCTACCATGCCTGGCTAATTTCTGATTTATTGTAGAGACGAGGTCTCTCCAGGTTACCTGAGCTGGTCACGGACCCACGGGCTCAGGCAGTCCACTCACCTCAGCTTCCCAAAGTACTGGGATTACAGGCTGAGCTGCCAAGCCCGGCCAGTTATCATTTTTATTAGTATCAGCTATTTCACACTTGTTATTTAAGGAACTCTAATTAATTTATGAATTTGTATATTAATGACTCACTTGGATTAAAGTAGGAAATAAATGAAATGTCAATAAAAATAGTAAATATATCTTCTAGAAATGAAAGAAACCATTTCAGTCTTAGACGATTGTGTGTTCTCTGTTAAAGAATATTTTCTTTAAGTGATTGGGCATGGCATACAACCCAGCAGTCCCATTTAAAGAAATCTGACAGGAGAAAGTCCTCTGTGTAGAATCTTCTAGCCTGAGGAAGCCCACCAGCCATTCTGTCTTCCTACTCCAGAGAGTCGTGGGAATGCATGTTTGGAATCAACAGGAAAGGTAGAGACCAATAAACATAAAAACTTGACTTTAGAGGAGTTAGGTGTTATAAGAACAGAAGAGATTACAGATGATAAATATATTTTAGCCAGGTATAGTGGCTCACACCTGTAATCCCAGCACTTTGGGAGACAGAAGTGAGAGGATTGCCTGAGTCCAGGAGTTCGAGACCAACCTGGGCAACCTAGTGATCTCATCTCTACAATAAATTAAAAAACTAGCCAGGTGTGGTGGTGTATACCTGTAGTTCCAGCTACTTGGAAGGCTGAGGTGGAAGGATCGCCTGGGCCTAGCAGGTCGAGGCTGTGGTGGCCATGAGCGTACCACTGTACTCTATCCTGGGGACCATGAGACTACAACTCAAAATAACAACAACAGCAGCAGCAACTATATATGTGTGTGTGTGTGTGTGTGTGTGTGTGTGTGTGTGTGTATGTAATATATATTTTTAAAGAAATATCAGAGGACATTATAATCCAAATAAAACAGAAGCTATAAAAAAGATCAAGTGGAACATAAAACCTCTTAGAAGTTTATATAATTGCTAAACTCTTTAAAAAAAAAAAAAAAGAGTAGAAAAGGAATTGTTCTGTATTTCTTAGAATGTAGGCCAGAGATGGAGAATATAAACTGATGGTTAACAGCTATAGTTTGGTCCTCAGTACTACCTGTAATCCTTTGTATGTGTTGTAATCAACTGTGGTTTGTCTTATTGATGAGAATACTTTCAAACTTTTCCATTCTTCTTTAATTTCTGATCCAGCTGTACCAGTTCATCTTACTTTATGCGGAAAAAGGATTGTGTTAAGTGGATCTTGTGGTTTTGTTTCTTCATATGCCTGAAATTTGGATTTTAACTTTATTATTAATTCATTATAGAGAGGCAGGATTTTGTTATATTCTTCTGAAGAGTATTGGCTTTTTGTTTGGTTTTGTTTTGAGTGGTAGTTACCTTGAATGAAGTCAAACTCCAGGCCCAACTTTACAGCAGGGGGAGCTGCTGAGGTCTTTGTTCAGTTCCTTTAACTGAGCTGAGCTGCTTGAAATTTGCTCTGGCATAGGTGGTGAGGGGTCAGGATGAGATAATACAGAGGTATAGTGGGTCATAGTGTGACTGTTTTCTGCATCAGGAATATGGACTGGTAGCAGCTTGATTTCAGATGCAAGGGCCCATCAGAGAACAAATCCCAGTGTCCCGATGGTTTCATGGTTTGTGGATTCTCAGAGGGGTCTGAAATCTGCATCTTCCATGGTCCAATATCTGCTGGGGAACCTGTGGCTACTGTTGGTGTGGCCCAGCACTGCTGTGTTCAGTTAGGTCTGGGCACTTAGGATCTGAGAGTCCAGGATTCCAAATAATGAACATTACCAGGACTCATTATGAGAACTCTGCCAGCCCCTTCAAGTATCCTTGGTTCCTCTTGGTAGAGAATTAGAGAACAAAATCTAGACTTAAGCACATGTCTGCTGTTTCGTACTGACACTGAGATTATTGAGAGGATGGCAGCCGATTTCTACCCTTCAGGACAGCATCCTGTTGGGAGGCTGAGAGATCCAATTTAGCAAATTTATGATCGCTAGCCTGCTTTTTACCTTGTTCTAAAATGAGCTTGAATTTGACTAGTCCTCTTTTTTGGGTTTTGTTTTTCATTAATTTTATAGTAGTCACTAGATTATTATATTAAACCACTATTCCTTAAATTTAAAATTCTCTTTTTGACTCTCACATTGAGCATTTTTCAGTTACCTTCAGGTCTACATGATGCCTTTTGTTCTCTCTTTCAGTACTGATGAAAGGAAAAGTAGCTCAGTCTTCTTTCATCAAATAGCAGAGAACTAGAAATAGCACCAGGTGAAGAAATAAGTTACCTGTTTTAGAGTCCCATGCAGTAGGTAGGGAGCAGCACCAAAAGGGAGCACAGAGTCGCACATATGCTACCATTTTTGAATGCTTCACTTAGTTGGATAAGAGTCATGATTATCCCATTTAAATTCCAGTCTTTTGAAGGTCTTTAATAAGATAATTTTTACTGCTATAATATATTTTTCTAGCTTCCTGATAGCCAATTGAAAATTTTTTTAAAACCACCTAAAATATCAGGAGTAAAAAGACTTTTAAAACTCTACCCTAAAAAGCCGAAATAAAAATATTTGGTCATAGTTGCTTAATTCTGAGAAATATGTCTTAAGTGATTTGTTCATTGTGCAAACATCATAGAGTGTACTCACACAAACTTACATGGTGTAGTGTACTGCACACCTAAGGTATGTGGTGTAGCCTATTGCTCCTAGGTCGCAAACCTGTACAGCATGTTGCTGTAGATAAATACTGTAGATAATTGCAGCACAGTGACATCTGTGTATCTAAAACATATCTAACCATATAAAAGGTATAGTAAAAATATGGTATAAGATATTTAAATATAATATCCCTATATAGGGCACTTACCACGAATGGAGCTTGCAGGACTGGAAGTTTCTGTAGGTGAGTCAGTGAGTGAGTAGTGAGTAAATGTGAAGGTCCAGGACATCACTGTGCACTACTGTGGTCTTTATGAGTACTGTACACCTAGGCAAAACTAAATTTATTTAAAAAGATTTTTCTTCAATAGCAAATTAATCTTACTGCAAGTTTTCAACTTTGTAAATTTTTTAACTTTTACATTCTCGTAATAACACTTTGCTTAAAACACAAATATATTGTACAGCTATATGAAAATATTTTTCTGTCTTTATCCTTATTTCTATGAGTGCATTTTTCTTTTTCTTTTTCTTATTTTTTCTTTGAGTCAGAGTCTCACTCTATTGCCCAGGCTAGACTGCAGTGACACTCTCATGGCTACCACAGCCTCGACCTGCTGAGTTCAGGCAATCCTTCTACCTCAGCCTTCCAAGTAGGTGGAACTACAGGCACGCACCACCACACCTGGCTCATTTTTTTAATTTATTGTAGAGATGAGGTCTTACCAAGTTGCCTAGGCTGGTCTCGAATTCATGGACTTAGGCAGTCCTCTCACCTTGACCTCTCAAAGTGCTGGGATTATAGCCTTGAACCACCACACCTGGCCTGTTTTTCTTTTTTTAAATTAAATTACTAATTTGTGTTGTTTTTTATTTTTTAAGCTTTTTTGTTAAAAGCAGACACAGACACACGCATTTACCTAGGTCTATACAGGTTCAGGATTGTCTTTTGGGTCCATTATCATCTATACAGTACATTGTTGAATGAAACTTTGTTATGTAGTATATTACTGTAATCTCCATTTGTAGGTGCAGCTTACCCAATATTATTTGGGTTCACATATATTAATTTGTAAAATATACCAACATAGTTGGATTATAATAAACTTGGTTGCTTTGCATGTATGAATTTAGGTATGTTTTATGCTTGAATGCTTTGGAGTTTTATCTTAAAATGTCAAGTATGAACTGGTCATTTAAAATAGCATGGGATTGTCACATGGAAGAAATACAGAGTCACTTTTTCCTGGAATGTCTGATAGACAGCCCAATAAAAATCTAATGTGAAATATGGTTTTGCCAAAGTTCAAAGAGACAATGAACTTTTTGGTATTGTAGTTATTTGTGATCTCCTAGTAAAAATAATCATGCATCACAAAAAGTTACAATTTATTGTAAATAATTCATCACTTAATATTGCTTCTGTTATTTTAATACAAATAGAGTTTTAAAAACTAACTGAAAACAATTCTGGGTCAGCAAACATACTTTTGTAATTATCTTTAAAAAAAGGTGCTTAAGATCTCGTCTTTAGACTTTTTGATTAAACTTTTTCATGTAGCCAATGATTGGAGTAACCCAAAGCCTATGTCTTTTCTGCTTCAAAACACATTGTGTGAAAGTAGTTATGAGGTGTATCTCGTGAAAACCTTCCTGTATGATTTTGTAAGTGTGTGTCATGATGATGTGGTTTAGGCAATACTGGAGAACTGTGCTGTCTTCATTTCTTCACCGAAGGCAAGCCTTAGTTTATAGTGATTGGTGACTGCTTGGTGACTGCTAGAACAAAAACTTGTGCCAACAGATCTAGGAATTCGTTAAGTTGTTTTTATAAAACTCATGAGGATTTGTGATAGTCCCTTCATGCCCATGGAATCCTTTGATGCCCACATGTCCTTGAAATATTCTCGCACAGGCTCTACCTTTCTCATGGAGCCGTGTAGACAGACCCAGGGGCTGGAGGCTGTAGTATCACATGAAGTCAGACTCACATCTGCCCTGGGCAGTGGTCATTTGTGGGAGTCCAGAGCACATTCTGCTGGGTTTAGGACTGGCTTCCTTAGTTACCTTTCATCCTGAGTTGGGATTGGCACACAGACTCTCAGAGAATCAGTGATCATTTCTGGAAAATAGTATATGGAAAAGATGATTTAGCAATTGAAAAATTTTCAAGTAACCTCAATTATAGCATTGTAATTAATTCAAATGTTCTATATTCCAGGACCTTTTTTCTATTAGTGCTTATGTTTATGCTCAGAAGCCACAACTGGATATTCATAGTTTTGAAGGCACATTTACCAGGGTAAGTTAATCATTTGTTAAAGACAAATATACTTATTGTATATGTAAGGTAAAGTAACAAACATTTATTTTGAGAGAGTAATTCAGTCAAGAATAAATTCAAACAAGTTTCAAACTAGAAAGGAAAAACCTGCAAAACATTTCAAGTACTTAGATTTCCCTGTGTAAAAGATGCCTTAAGGGTACATTCAGTACAGCTTTTCTAATTTTTTTAGCATTTTGACTATTGATAAGACCTTTATTTCTAAAATATTATGAGTAAGTAAAATGAAGTAATTTATTTGTATTTTGACTGAATAGTTGGTATACTATGATATCCACATCATGGCTAAGTTTTTAGACACTGGATAAGGTGGTTAAGTATATATGTATGTGTGTATATGTGTATATTTCTTCTCATGTACATGTATATTTTATGCCACATGATTTTCATTATTATAGAGTATTGATAAAGCTTGAAGCCCACTGTCCCTGACTAATAGGGTTTAAAGGACTTAATAACTTTATTTTAATTGCTTATCACTGATATTATAACTGCCTTACAGTAAGGGGTTTTAATGCATGACTATCGTTCATGTTTAATTTCTACAATTATTTTTTTAAAAATTGGTACAGTCACCTTTGTTTTACTCTTGATCACATGCAAGGATTGGCAAGCAATTATTGTCACTTATAAAAGAATTTATAGAGCTCTTAAGAGGGCGAGCCCAAAAAACTGGAATCTATTTATAAAAAATTGTGTATGTATTCATACTTGTTTAAACTTCAGTTACCTTCAAAGTATTGTCCGTTTGATGCAATACACCTATTGAGATGATTTTTCTACTGCTCAAAACAGTTTTTGAACTAGTCAATTTTCATGTCTTTTAGTGCTTCTCCCATTTTGTGTTCTACCTCTTCCACGTGGACAAAATGTTTTTTCTCTGAGGACTTTTTTTATCCAGGGAAACAACAACAAAAGTGTCCTCGAGATGAGATGGGATGAATAGAGAGGATGGAGCACAGGGGTCATGCTGTTTTTGGTCAAAAATTGCTGAACACTCAATGCTGTGTGGACAGGTGTCACTCAATGATTAAAAGTATAGTATAGCAAATACATAAACCAGTAACAGTCATTTTTAAAAATCAAGTATTATATACTGTACATAGTTTTATGTGCTAGACTTCTATATAACTGGTAGTGTTGCAGTAGGTATGTTTATACCAGCATCACCCTAAACATGTGAATAATGTCTCATGCTATGACATTATGATGGCTACAGTGTCACTAGGCAATAAGAATTCTTTATCTCTGTTTTAACTTTATGGGACTATTTTGTTATATAGGGTCTACTGTTGACTAAAGCATTATGTTATGCTTGACAGTATTTGAAGCAAAAACTGTTAGACCCACAAGAGAAATAAACAAATCCATAGTGATAGTTGGAAATTTTAATACTGACTACTCAATAACTGATGGAAGAAGTAGAGAGAAAACCAGTAAGGGTATAATAGACTTGAAGAACACTATCAGTGACGTTGGCACAGTTGATAGCTATAGAAGTCTTCTCCCAAATCAGTAGAATATGCAGTCTACTAAAATGCACACCGAAATTTTTATCAAGATACAACAAACAAAGCTTAGTAATAAAAGTCAACGTATGAAATGTGTTCTTGGACCACAGTAGAGTTAGTTCAGAAATTAATAACACGTACTTCTGGGAAACTACCAAATATTAGCTAACAGTACATTTCAGTTATCCCACCAGTTAAAGAATCATCCATGTCAGAGCAGAGGTGAAGATGAGAATTATTAACATAATAGAGAGGTAGGGAATCATCCACATCAGAATAGAGACAGAGGTAGGAACTGTCCATGGCAGAGTGAAGATGGAGGTAGGAATTGTCCACATCAGAATAGACATGGAAGTGGGAATCATCCATTATCAGAACAGAGATAGAGATGAGAACTGTTCACTTTAGAATAAAGGAGGGAGTATTCCATGACAGAATAGAGAAACAGATGGGAATTGTCCATGTCAGAATAGAGATGGAGATGGGAGGCATCCACATCAGAATAGACATGGAGGTGGGAGTCATCCATATCAGAACTGAGACAAGTGGGTATGGTTCATGTCAGAATGGAGATGGTGGTGGGAACTGTCCATGTCATAGTAGAGATGGAAGTAGGAACCATCCATGTCATAATAGAAATGGAATTGGGAACCGTCCACTTCCTACTAGAGGTAGAGATGGGAACCGTCCATGTCATACTAGAGGTAGAGGTGGTAACTATCCACGTCATAATGGAGGTGGGAATTGCTGTAATCAGAATAGACATGGAGATAAGAGTCATTTACATCAGAATAGTGATGGGAGTAGGAACGGTCCACATCAGAGTAGAGGAGAAGTTTGGGACTGTCTGTGTCATAATAGAGTTGAAGGTAGGAACTGTCCACGTCAAAGAGGTAGAGGTGGGAATTGTCCATGTCATACTAAAGGTGGAGTTGGGAACCGTACACTTCATACTAGAGATGGAGTTGGGAGCCTTTCACATCCTACTAGAGGTGGAGGTGGGGACCGTCACATCTTACTAGAGGTGTAGTTGAGAACCATCCCACGTCTTACCAGAGGTGGAGGTGGGAATTACCCTTGTTAGAACGGACATAGATGGGGCACTGATGTCCATGCCAGCATACAGCATCCCCATGGAGGTCATGGAGTTTGGGACTCCTGAAACCACCACCTGAGAGAGGCAGTGCTGGCTCCTGTCCTGGCTAGTTTAGGAACAGTTATCTGATCTCGGGTACAGGTGCCAGTTATGTGAGCACACAGTGATTTAAGAATGGGAACAACTTCATCCTGTGAGCCATGTGATGTGCACTGATGCAGTGGTGGCAGTGGTTTCCCTGGGAAGTTGTACTATTATAAAAAGAGAGAAACTTAAACAATTTTTAAATTGAGATACCTTTCCTTTGTATCAGTTATTTCAAGTTCTTAATAAATGTAAATAAATAAATTGGCTTTCATTGCCTTTATTTGACATTTACTAACAGGGTTTTTTCTTATTTTAAATATATTGATCCTGAGTACTGTGTTATATAAGAAGAAAAATATTTTTGTATGCATTTTTTCCAAAAAGAAGGAAAGATGAGTCAAATGAGTAGTGTTGTAACTAGAAAATTCAGTTTAATCAAACTTATCAACAAAACATTGTTAAAAATTGATGCCCCCTTATTTTCCTTTTCTGTAGTGTAATATACCTAGGCAAAAATGTGTCTTTTGTATCATCTTAAAGTCTTCGGTAAGAATGTGAATGGAAGAACGTGCAGTCCTGTGGCAGCATATCTGTCACATGTGCCATGCTGGGCCGCCAACGAGGATGAATGTGTAAATGCTCCCTGCTTCCCGTTCCTCCCAGTGTCAGGGCAACCCACTGAAGATGGATTATGTTTTGCATTATATTGGTGATCCATATGTTGTTAGTAATGTTATTAATTTCCCTGATTGTTTGAGACATAGGTATTCTCTTGGAAGTTTGAAGTTTGAAATTCTAACCAGGGCTGGGCGCAGTGGCTCATGCCTATAATTCCAGCACTTTGGGAGGCCAAGGTGCGAGGATTGCCTGAGCTGATGGGTTCGAGACCAGCCTGGGCAACTTGGAGAGACCTCATCTCTACAATAAAAAATCAAAAAATTAGCCAGGCATGGTAGCACTTGCCTATAGTTCCAGCTATTTGGAAGGCTGACGTGGAAGGATCACCTGTGCCCCATAGGTCAAGGCTGTGGTGCCCATCATTGTGCCACTGCACTCCAGCCTAGGTAACAAATTGAGACTCCAACTCAAAAAAAAAAAAAAATTCTAACTAGTTTTGACATATTAGCAGTGTTTGTAGTCCTTGCATCATACTCTAACTTAATCTTTTTATAATGTATTTTCTGCTGTAATTCTTTTTGCAAACTATAGCACATTTATTGTTCATGATTTTTCAATTAAAATACTCTCCTTTAAAAGCAAACCCCTATTGTTGGTTAAATAGAGTACACTATTTAGAAAACAGCTTGAAATGACATTTTGCACCCCCCCAAGAAGATTTTATCTTTTCAAACTGTATAACACTAAGGAGAAGGAAACCAAAGAGAATGTTGTTTAGAGAAATTTCTTTCCCAGTCTTCCCAATCTTTATTCTGTGCTTCATGAGATTGGTTAAATTTTTTTTTAAAAAATCCTTTAGGATATTTTTCTTCATATTAGAAAAATGTCTACTGTTTAAAGTCCATCATTGCCATTACAGAATAGAAAGGAAAATGCATACGTATTGTGCCTTCTCCAACACATAATTGTGTTAGAAGCAGACAAAAACATTCACATGATTAAATGGTCATGGAAGAGTAATGGAGAACTAAAATTTCTAACTAAACTATATGGAACCATTTATTTGCAGTTAGGACACTTTCGGAAATGTTTATATTTTACAATGCCCTTATTTTTTGTGGACTTTGACATAAGGAGAAAATATTATACTAAAAGATTTGCATGATTAATAGTTTTTAAACTTTCCTATTACATGAAAGATTATGAACAGTTTGAAGGGAATACAATGGTAGGAATTTGTGCTGGGATGGTGAACTCAGAAACAGTAGGGATGGTAGAAGCAGGTCCCTGAGAAACCATAGAAGTAGGAGGCTCAGAGTAACAGCAGTCAGGGGGGCCTGGAGGAGCAGGTACTTTAGGTGTAGGAGGCTCAGAGTGACTACAGGCAACTGAATCGTTGCTGTGTCACTATCAGAGCTTTTGAAAGTGGAGGTAGAGTTCTGGTTTGTGTTTTCCTCTTTTCACTCATTTTCTAACAGAGTCCAGTGCCTGCTCTGTCCTAGTTGCTAGGAAGGGAAAAGTCAGCCCTACAGTCTCGTAGCTTACAGTTCTGTTGGGTAAGTAAACATGTCACTTGCTATTATCCAATGAAAATAATTCTTAATTTATCTTAGAGAATTACTTTATTTGCTTCATAGTTTAAATCATAAATGTGCCATTCAGCAAATGGCTTATTTATGCCAATTATGTGCTCAGTTTGCTGGATCACAGCTAGAAAGTTAGACTCACATGCAATTAAGGGATATATATGTCAACTATATTTGGGAGGTAGAAATGAGGATATATATTTTTTTCCGTCGCCAATGATATTTATCAGAGTTAGGCTCTAAAACCATCTGTGTGAATCAATCAGAAATTAGTTATTTCAGTTCAGTCATAAATTGAAGTAAAAAATAATCTAATCCATACAGACTACTCACTTCTCTCTTCTAAAAATTGTGGTGTGTGTGTGTGTGTGTGTGTGTGTGTGTGTGTGTGTGTGTGTGTGTGTTTGTAGAGACAAGGTCTTTCTGTGTTGCCTAGGCTGGTCTTGAACTCCTGGGCTCGATCAATCCTCCCACCTTGGCCTCCCAAAGTGCTGGAATTACAGGCATGAGCCACTCTGTATGACCTGTTTTTAATGGTTCTATAAAACATTGAAAGTTATAGGAAAAACTCACTTTTCCCCAATTGTTTATTTATGAATTAGACAGTTTTTCTTTCTTTACTTTGAATGGTACTTAAGTTATAAAGAAAATGAACAAAAGGCAATTCCTGTCTGGCATGTTCTGCGGAAGAAACAAGAACATTGTTTCAAAACACAGTACTTGAATATTCTTTTTTTATTTTAAAGACCGTAATGATGGTATGTTAACTACTGTGCAAGAGCTTAATTTGATTCCAGCATATTTAGATATTTGTAAATATATTATTTTCATTAGTATAAAACTATAGTAAAAGAAAATAAAGATATACAAATTTTTATAGCCCTATCTTTCTAATGTTAATAGTAGTATTATTCTTTTGACTCTTCTTTCAAGTTTTTTTCACATACAGATACATATTTATATTGAGATAATATAATTCTGTTTTTTTCCTTAAAATATATTTTCTTAGTATTTTTCGTGTTGATTCAGCTTAATTTTCAGTAAATTTTTTGTAAGCTAAAATTACTCAATGCAGACAATCCTGAACACTGTCCCTGGAGTGCTGAGTGCCTCCTCTCTCTTGGTCGTGCTGGCTGGAGCTGACGAGGCATCTGGGGCCAAACTCCTCCCTCCAGTTTAATTTAGGTGAAACCATTGTATTTTCTAAATATTTGTGGCATTTGGAGAATTATTTTGGAAGCTGTTAGGATTGGTTTAAATTTTGTGCCTCACAAGTAAATAAAAAAGTCAAATATATAAGAGAATCAAATATCTAGTAAATATCTTCCAAGCGGCTAGCAAAATGGCCAGAACTTATATCATTTGAAGGTGGTTTGATAAGTGAGTGGGAAAGAAAACGCCATTACATGCCAAGGAACACGGTGTCCAATGCTGTGGATATCTAAATTATGAACAATTTGAAAATTACTAATTTACTGATTTTGTTTCCTTTTTCTCTCCCTGAACAGGAAGACAGTGACCCACCCATTCATGAAAGTCTCAGCATAGAAAATACATTGTGGGCAAGCACTATTGTTGCTTCAGGTAAGGGAAAGTTTTCCTCTGAGTGTGATTTCTCATAGATAGATGATGCTTTGTTTTGTCCAGGCACTCCAAACCAGTGTTTCCCTAGATACTGAGAATACTTAGGAACCTAGCTAAATGCAGACTCTAGTTCAAGAGGTCTGGGATGGTTCTGGCTGTCCATGGGGAGGCCTGTGCTGCTGGCCAGCCATTGCATTTGGATGGAAGGCCCGCAGCAGGCAGAGATGGTACAGCCTCATGTAGGGGCATAGGCATTTTGCTGGTTGTGGTAAGTTTATTGACAAATTTGTCAGTGTGCTTTAATGAGAGATACCACAGAACAATTAGGGACACCAGTGGTGATTTGAGATGGCTCTTTGCCATTCACCCAACCAGGATTGGTAGGAGGAGAAAGTGGATGAAGTGACAGTGGGAGAAAAAAGCATAGATGAGGCCAGACAGTCCATGATAGGTAGATCATGCTAGGCCTTACAGAGTAGGATAAAGATTCTTAATTTTGTTATGAGTAAAACTGGAAGACTGAGTGTTCTTAGTTGTTGAAGAGGGAGGGGACTTAAATTGACAGTTTAGAAAGTAAATTTCTATGGGAGATATTAAAAATATAATTGATTAGCACCTTGTCAGAAAGTAGTTGGCATTGATGACGGTTCTAGGAAGTTTATCACAAGCTAATTGACATGGATGATGACTCATGGATAGAAGCTTAGGAAAAACTAGTTGATGATGATGATAGGGTGAAGGAAGCTGATGACAAAGTATTTGACACTGATGGTGATATTGCTAGTGAAGCTTAACAGCAGGGAGCACAAGGAAAGAGGACACTAGAGCCTATAGGAACCTAGGAACACTAGGTTAGATTTGTCAAAATTGTTTCCTTTCAGATTGCCCACTGCCATAGCCCTTCCCTCTTAGGTGTTCTACACTAAACACTGGTGATACAGTCTGAAACAAAGTAGTTGTGGGTCTTCTCCTCAAGGAGCTTATGGTTTGGTGGATAGACAGTAAGAAAGTGATCCAGACAATTTAACTGTGCTGTCACAAAAAAGTACTGGGTGCTGTGAAAAATGTATTCATCAAAAACTGTGTGTAAGCCGGGCTCGGTGGCTCAGCCTGTCATCCCGCGCCTTTGGGAGGCTTAGGTGAGTGGATTGCC